GCCATGCAAGCATTCCAACTGGCCTCAGAAATGAAAGTTAACTGGACAAAAACAATAGGTTGGTGGACCCCAGAAACACCTCCTCCCATAAAGCTATCGCCGACAGGACTTCAATGGACAAATCCAAACTCACCAATCTGCTTCCTGGGCATTAATCTCAATCTCAAAGGATGCCACCATATATCAGCAGCGACACTCTTATCTTCAATGGTAAATAGAATGCACACCTGGAAAACCACACATACTCCTTACTAGGCACGGTACTAGTGCTAAACAATTCGATCTTAGCAATGATGTGGTATTCCACCTCTATCTGGTTCCCAGCTACGGACTTCCAAAGCAAGCTGAGGAAAAGAACAGCAGCATTCCCAAGGACAGGCAATCCGGACAAGCTACAATTTATTCACAAGGTGTCATCGCAGATAGTCACCAGCCCAAAAAGCAGAGGAGGCTTAGGACTCATAGATCCATCTCGCCAAATCCAAGCACTACAAATTAAATGGATCATAAGATTAGCCCTCCAGAACAATCTGCATTGGTCACCATTAGTCGTGATATATATCAGAGAATTGGCCCCATTTACCTCTCCAACCAACATGACAGGCCTCTTCTGGATTTTCAACAAATTCTGGCCACTTCCAAAAGGGAAACAGAGTCAATCCGACCAAACGCTCCAACATAACAACGATGACACCCCCCAGACTAAACCCCTCTGGGAGCAAATACTGCACACCTGGAGAATCATCTTCCCCCAAAACAAAACTGGTCCAAAGAAAAAAGACGAAGTTCACAAACAACCCCTCTTTGGCAACCCACTGATCAACAACGACAAAGGGGAAAGCCTCCCACTCTCAAAGACTGTACCCAAATGGGGCCATTGGCTCGAAAAGGGAATATGGCAAATCAAGCACATCTGAAATGACCCAAACTAAACGTGGACTAAAATCAGACAAAAAATGGCAATACGGTGACTGGGCTACCACCACGGACTTCACACCAGTCCAGGAAGTCCTCTCATTCAAGAATTACGAACCTCACAACAATAATTGGATTTGCTGTGACATATACACCTCAGAGGAACCAAGAAACCCGGTAAGTTACATCAATACAAAAAGTAGAGCTGAAGGAGCATTCAAAAACAACCTGAAAAGAATCAAAATCATAGAAGGAGAAAGAAAAAGAGTATATAATCCCCACGCTAGTGTCTGTAACCTGGAGATCGACCCAACGGAATGGACATGGAACTCCTCGTCTGGCTCCTCCCTCATCTCAAATGCAATCAGGCTAACTGCCTACGCACCTAAACTAGGCTATCGACTCTTCACCAAACCTATATCAATTTCCAACACAGTACGCAAAAGGTGGACAAAGGAGGAACCACAACTAGCCAAATTCCACTTCAAGCTTCCCTGGGCTACAGTCTTCTCCACAAGACCGGTCAAACTGGCCAGCCTGAGATGGTTAACAACCTTCAGAGCAGCTCCAGTAAACCAATGGTTGACCAACAGGCGCAAACATGAAAACAGAACGGAACAGGATTCATGGTGCAAGGTATGCAACCTCCGTACCACAGAATCCCTGAACCATTGCTTTATGGACTGCCCAAAGGCCAGATCCCTCTAGCAAACTCTAGAAACATCATGGGATAAAATCTCAGACTCTCCCCTTCTAATCAACCCCGCCACACTATTCCTCAACCTGAAACAATCACCCCCGGTCAAAGGCTTTGAAGCCTTCCTGTCCTCACAAATCAAGAAAAGCACCCTATGGGCTATTTGGAAAAAGAGATGCGACTTCACCTTCAATGATCGACTCACCGCCCCAGAGAACCCACTCATTATCATCAAACAGCTAATAGACACCGAAATCCATGCCCTCTGGAAATAACAACTTAACAAGCTCCCCACTGATAATCAAAAAGTTATCAACCTCCAAGCTAGGTAATGGGATGTTAGGCACCATCAACAATGACAGACTAACACTAAAAAGTTGGCTAATCGTAACACAGACACAAAGCACCTCAATAACTCCCCTAGCCCACATACAACCACCCCCAAGCCAGCCACCCACCACCAATCCACTATCGT